AAGATTCTTTCCTTCGTCTTAACTTTGGATAACCTGATGACAATGTGCCTAGCTGAAGATCTTTTTGCAATGAATTTCCCAGGTGTTCTTTGTGCTTCTTGTATTTGCACATCTAGGTCTCTGGCAAGGCTGGGGAAGTTTTCCTCGATGATTCCCCCAAATATGTTTTCCAAGCTTTTAGAATTGTCTTCTTCCTCGGGAACACTGATTGTTCTTAGGTTTGGTCGTTTAACATAACCCCAGACTTCTTGGAGGCTTTGTTCATATTTTCTTATTCTTTTTTCTTTGTCTTTGTAGGATTGGGTTAGTTCAAAGACCTTGTCTTTGAGCCCTGAATTTTTTTCTTCTACTTGTTAAATTCTATTTCTGAGACTTTGCAGAGCATTTTGCATTTCTGAAAGTGTGTCCAAAGTTTCCTGAATTTTTATTGTTATTTATTTAAGCACTCTATTTTGTTGAGTATTTCTCCCTTCACTTCCATTATCATTTTTTGATACAAGCCCTTGAATTGGACTTTGCCTTTCTTTGGTCCCTCTCTGATTAGCTTAGTAACTAACCTCCTGAATTCTTTTTCAGGTAAGTCAGAGATTTCTTCTTGGTTTGGATCCTTTGCTGGTGAACTAGTGTGATTTTTTGGGTCACTGATGAGCCTTGTGTTTTCATATTACCAGGGTTTTCTGTTCCTTCTCATTTGGGTAGGCTCTGTCAGAGGGAAGGTCTAGGGCTGAAGGCTGTTGTTCAGATTCTTTTGTCCCACAGGGTGTTCTGTTGATATAGTACTCGCCCCCTTTTCCTGTGGTTGTGGCTTCCTGTGAGCCGAACTGCAGTGATTGTTGTCTGTCTTCTGGGTCTAGCCATTCAGTGAGTTTATTGAGCTCCTGGCTGGTCCTGGTGGTTTCTGCATGGAGCCCTGTGATGTGAACTGTCTATGGGTCTCTTAGCCATGGATGCCAGCACCTGTGCTGGAGGAGGTGGCGGAGGGTGAAGCGGACTTCATGAGGGTTCTTAGCTTGGGTGGTTTAATGTTCTATTTTTGTGCTGGTTGACCCCCGGCCAGGAGGTGGTGCTCTGCAGAAAGCACCAGCTGTAGTAGTACAGAGAGGGACTGGGCCCTAGAACTACCAAGATTATATGTCTTTTGTCTTCTGCTACCAGGGTGGGTAGGGAGGGACCATCAGGTGGGGACCAGGCTAGGCGTGGGTGAGCTTAGACTCTCCTTGGGCCAGTCTTGCTGTGCTGCTGTGGGGGATGGGGATGAGATTCCCAGGTCACTGCAGTTGTGTACCTGGTACCTAGGAGGATTATAGCTGCCTCTGCTGAGTCATGCAGGTTGTCAGGGAAGTGGGGAAAAGCTGGCACTCATAGACCTCACCCAGCTCTCATGCAAACCAAAGGGCCGGTCCCACTCCCACTGTGCCACCTGCAACAGCCCCGAGTGTGTTTCCAGGTGGAGGGCAGGCTTGAAAACTTGCCAGAGGCTTTCAGGCTTTCAGCCTCCCAACTACGAAAAGAAAAGGGTTTTAGTTCTTCCCTGCCTCTGATGTCTGCTAGCTGGATTTGCTACCTCCCCAGAGTTCCAGCTAGGAGGCTTCTGGCCCCACTCAAATTGTTACAAACTTCAGCTAGGGAAGTCCTTCTCTCCAGTGGGGTTTTATCCCCTGCTCCTCTGGCTCTCTCCTGACGGATCCCTGTGGTGTCAGGCAGGAATGGGCGGCTTGGGGATTCAGTGAGCTCTCAGGGTCTCCCTGCTGCCTCCTCCCCGCTGGTATTTCACTTGGCTTGGCTCTAACTCAACTCAGCTTCAGGTAAAGTCGGGAACATCTCCCACAAACAGACCTTCAGCTTCGCCAGTGGAGGTGTGTGTCTGGGAAAGGAGGGTCTCCCTTTCCCACTTCTGCACTTGGGGCACTTACAGTATTTGGGGTGACTCCTGGGTCCTGCAGGAGCAGTCTGCTTCCTTCAGAGGGTCTGTAGATCCTCTCGGGATTGCTGTTTTATTCTTGCAGTTGATCTGGAGCTAAGTTTCACAATGACAGCCTCCGCAATGCTGCACTATCCGGAGCTGCAATCTTGTCCTGCCTCCTGTCTGCTATGATCTACCGGAAGTCCTTATCCATTGTATTCTGAAAGCAAATAACTTGTTAGGTTTCTCAGGTTAAAAGATTGAGAGGAATTTTCTCTCAGGATCAGTCATACTCTAGTCTTACCCATAATTGGTTTAGATGATATTTTAATGAGATTTGGGACTTGGAATGGATTAAGACTTTAGGGGCTATTGCGATGGGGTGAATTGTTTATTTTGCCTGTGAGAAAGACATGAATTTTAGGGGTTCAAAGGGTGTAGCATTATGGACTAAATTGTGTCTTTTCCTCAGATTTTCATGTTGAGTTCTAATCCCCAGTACCTCATAATGTGGATGTAGTTGATAACCATCTGCAAGTCAAGAGAAAGCCCTCAGAAGAAATCAACCATGCTGGCACCTTGATTTTGGACTTTTAGCCTCTAGAACTTTGAGAAAAAAAAAATTTCTGTTGTTTAGGCTACCCAGTCTGTGGTATTTTGTTATGACAGCCCTAGCAAACTTGGACACCAATTTTGCAGAAATGAAACAGCCTGTTGAAAATTAATATGGAATTATAAGGGATTCTAAATAGTCACATTTTTAAAAATATTGCCCTGTAGTTCTTAGATTTTGTATTAGTTTTCCATTCTCAGTTTTCTCTTTGCATTTTAGTTTGCGAAGTTACTATTGACATATCTTCAGGTCAACAGATTCTTTCCCCTGTCACCTTGAATGTGATAGTTAATTTTATGTGTCAAATTCTGGATCGTGGGATGCCCAGCTATCTGGTTAAGCAGTATTTTTCATGTTTCTGTGAGAGTGTTTCTAAAGAGATTAGCATTACAATTGGTGGACTAAGAAAAGCAAGCGCCCCTCCCCAGTGTAGGTGGGCATTCTTCAATTTGTTCAGGGCCTGACTGGAACAAAAAAGTGGAAGAAGGTTGAATTAACTGTGCCTGACTGCTTGAATTGGGACATAAGCCTCTCCTGCCCTTGGCACTCCTGGTTCTCAGGTCTTCAGATTCAGACTGATCTATACCATTTGTTCTCCGGCTCTCCAATCTTTGAACTATACCACTGACATTCCTGTGTCTCCAGTTTTCAGACAGAAGATTGTGGCACTTCTTAATCTCTGTAAACATGGATCCAATTCCTTACAGTAAACCTCTTCACATTCACGTCTTATTGGTTTTATTTCCCTGGAGAATCTTGACTAATACATTTAGTCTAATGATGAAGCCATCAAAGGCATTCTTCATTTCTGTTATAGTTTTGATTTCTAGCATTTTCTTTTAATTGTTCTTCAGCATTTTTCTCTCTCTACTTACATTACCTATCTTTCCTTGAATGTTGCCTACTGTTTCTATTAGGGCCACGAATGGATTAATCATAGTTAGTTTTATCCTTTCCAGATAATTTCAACATCTGTGTCTCATGTGGGTCTGCTTCCGATGCTTGCTTTGCATCTTAAAACTGTGTTTTTTCCCCTTCTTTGGAGCATGCCTTGTAAATTTTGTTTAAAGCCATACATGATGTCTTGGGTAATAGGAACTGTAGTCATAAGCCTTTTTAGGTTTTTGTATTGAAAAGGCTGAATGTTGTGCTGCGTTTAGTGTTTCCTGTAACTGTAGATGCCATGGCTTTAAATTCCTCCAGTGTCTTTGTTTTTGTTTTTCCTACTGACTTTGGCCTTTCTTATGTATTCTTCCTTAGAGAGAGTCCGTGTCTTTCAGCTGCTTCAGCAGTAATCACTGTTATTATGCTGGCATCCTGTTGATGTGCTGGTTAGGTGTGGGGATGGGAAATATTATATCATCTTCTGATGAATCCTCAGCTGTCTAGTGGGCTTACGCTCTGAGGCTGTGATTTTCTTAAGCATTGCTCCAGTAGTGTGGCTTTTTCTCCACCTCCTACTCCTTTCCCTGGCTGGTGTGCAGGTAATTTATTTCATTGGAGGACAGACCCCTGGTTTTTCCGTTGGCTTTTTCCCGATTAGGTGAGTCAGGAAGCCTGGAGTAGGATGCAGCGGATAAGAATCCCTTTTCCCAGTTTGTTTTAGAATTTAGTACTGTACCCTTTCAAGTTCCTTCCCCTTGGTATAGAGGCCTTTTTTATGGAGAAGGCTCTGGGTGTTTTTCACAAAGGATATCTTCCCCTGCCCCTGCCAGGGCCAGGAGGGGATGTTTCTTGGATGTCTTCTATGAGAACCTTGTAAGTTTCCTTCAGTTAAACTTCATGAGTACCTTACCTCACTAAGACAGTAACACTTAGTAGTTTGTCACGCTCACAATTTTTACATTGCCCTGTAGTTCTTAGGTTTTCTGTTAGTTTTTCATTCTCAGTTTTCTCTTTGCATTTTAGTTTGGGAAATTACTACTGACATATCTTCAGGTCAACAGATTCTTTCCCATGCCACCTTGAGTGTGATAGTTAATTTTATGTGTCAATTTCTGGATCGTGGGATGCCCAGCTCTCTGGTTAAATAGTATTTCTGGACGTTTCTGTGAGAGTATTTCTGAAGAGATTAGCATTAGGATTGGTGATTGGTGAACTGAGAAAAGCAGGTGCCTTTCCCCACTGTAGGGGGGCATCCTTCAATTTGTTCAGGGCCTGACTGGAACAAAAAAGTGAAGGAAGCCTCCAGCAACTTCTTAAAATTACCATTTAAGTGTTTGTATTAGTCAGAGTTCTCCAGAGAACTGTAACTAATAGGAAATGTCTGTCTGTCTGTCTGATATGTGTATTCAAAGACATTGGCTCACACCATTATGGAGGCTGGACAGTCCGAAATCTTGGCCTGACAGACTGAATACCCAGGACAGCTGATGGTGCAGATGAAGCAGAAGGCTATCTGCTGGAGAAGTCAGTCTTGCTCTGGGAGGCTGCTATTTGTGTTCGATTCAGGCCTTCAACTTACTGGATGAGGCCCACCCACATTAGAAACCAACCTGGATTGCTCTGGTCTGAACGCAGATCACGTAGGACTTTAATTGTTGAACAAAAGAACCCTTGATAGCTGCTGCACCATTAGGATGTCCTAATCCAACATCGAGGTTGTAAACCCTATTGTTGATATGGACTCTAGAATAGGATTGCACTGTTATCCCTAGGGTAACTTGTTCCGTTGGTCAAGTTATTGGATCAATTATGGATGTTGACTCGCTTTGGCTTGTGTAGCCTTAGCATAGGTTGTTCGGAGGTTTAGTTATGCTCCAAGGTCACCCCGACCAAAATTTTTAATGCAGGTGTAGTAGTTTAAAGTCTGCAGATTTATATGATTTTGATTGCGTTAGTAAATTAAAGCTCCATAGGGTCTTCTCGTCTTACTATTTTATGCTCGCCTCTTCACGGGCAGGTCAATTTCACTGGTTGAAAGTAAGAGACAGTTGAACCCTCGTGGTGCCATTCATGCGAGTCCCTATTTAAGGAACAAGTGATTATGCTACCTTTGCACAGTCAGGGTACCGCGGCCGTTAAACATGTGTCACTGGGCAGGCGGTGCCTCTAATACTGGTAATGCTAGAGGTGATGTTTTTGGTAAATAGGCGGGGTTAAGTTTGCCGAGTTCCTTTTACTTTTTTTAACCTTTCCTTAAAAGCATGCCTGTGTTGGGTTAACAGTATGAATAATATTGACTTTGTTTGTATTTATTGATATTAGGCTGTTAAGTATCAGTGAAGTTTTTCAGTCGGATGTAGGCTTATGCAGTGGAGAAAATATTCATGTTACTTATATTAGCATTATCACTTCTATGAAATAATAGATTAATCCAATGTGATGTGAGGAGTTCAGTAGAATGTTTGAGACTTTTTAAGATAATTATGTTGAGCTTGAACACTTTCTTAATTGATGGCTGCTTTTGGGCCAACTATGGGAACTGGGTTTTTTTACTCTCTATATAAGGTTTTTTCCTAGTGTCTAAAGAGCTGTCCCTCTTTAGACTAACAATTAAGCTTATGGGGGAATTAAGTGATTCTGTAGGTAAACTTAAGGTTGAACTAAGATTCTATCTTGGATAACCAGCTATCACCAGGCTTGGTAGGCTTGTCACCTCTACCCATAAATCTTCCCACTATTTTGCTACATAGACGGGTGTGCTCTTTTAGCTGTTTTTGGGGAATTTGGTTTTAGTTTTCGTCTGGCTTCGGGGAATTTGGCTTTAGTTCTCTTTGCGAAACTGTTTCATTATGCAGAAGGTATAGGCGTGAGTGCTTGCTATTTTGTGCTTGGTTAATCTTTTTCATCTTTCCCTTATGGTACTGTGTCTATAGCGCCAGGATAAAATTTCTATCGCCTATACTTTTGTATGGGTAAATGATTTTGTAGAGGTTAATTTGGTATTAGTGTTGATTAGGTTTGGGGCTAGCATTAGCTCAAGGCAATCAAATTATGTTGAGATCTTCTGGGTGTAAGCCGGATGCTTTGTGTTAAGCTATGCCTTGGTTTATCCAAGTGCACTTTCCAGCACACTTACCGTGTTACGACTTATCTCCTCTATATAAATATGAGGTGGTGTTTAGTTAAGTTGATCCTTAAATATACTTGAGGAGGGTGACGGGGGGTGTGTGCATGCTTTATGGCCTCATTCAATTAAGCACTCTATTCTTAATTTACTGCTAAATCCTCCTTGAGCTCTTAGGTTTCGTAAGAGTCATCATGGGGTTTTCTGAGGTAGAAAATGTAGCCCATTTCTTACCATCTCATAAGCTACACCTTGACCTAACGTTTTTGCGGGGGCATTTATGCTTACTTTGTGGCCTTTATTAGGGTTTGCTGAGGATGGCCATATATAGGTTGAGCAAGAGATGGTGAGGTGAATTGGGGTTTATCAATTATAGAACAGGCTCCTCTAGAGGGATGTGAAGCACTGCTAAGTCCTTTGAGTTTTAAGCTGTTGCTTGTAGTATTCTGGCGAGTAGTTTTGTTGTTTTAACTATTGAGGTTTAAGGCTAAGCATAGTGGGGTATCTAATCCCAGTTTGAGCCTTAGCTATTGTGTGTTCAGAAATTTTAAAGCCACTTTCGTAGTTTATTTTACATCAGCTAGGGTTTTTTACAACTTAGATGGAGTTTGGCTTTATTAGAATAGATCTAAAACACTCTTTACGCCAGTCTCCATTAGCTTGGGTATGGCCGCGGTGGCTGGCACAAAATTAACCAACCCTGAATGTAGCATAGCTTAGTTAAACTTTTGTTTATTGCTAAAGGTTTGTCACTGCTGTCTCCCGTGGGGATGTGGCTGAGCAAAGTGTTTTGAGCTGCGTTGTGCATGATTGATACTTACTCCTTTTGACTGTGGTGATTTAGAGGGTGTTTTCACGGGGACGAGGATGCTTGCATGCATAATCTTGCTAAGAGTTAATAGAAAGGTTAGGACCAAACCTGTCTGTTTATGGAGTATATAAACCCATCTAGGCATTTTCGGTGTCTTGCTTTAGGTAAATTAAGCTACATAAACGGGGTTTTGTTAGATTTTTGGAGGAGTATGTGGTTGTGAAGTGCTATCTTTGGGGCTGTGATAATAAGGGTGTTGGTCTGGTAGTGGATAAGTATATAGGTGGGATAGAATAAAGAAGAGATTAAGGTTGAGAGTAGTGGGATGAGATGAGGGTTGTGTTAGTTGAGGGGTAGCAGTTGAAGTTATGCACAGCTAAAAGATGAAAACATAGGCTCTGGCTAAGTGGATTAAGGCTTTTGTTTTGGGGGTTTGGCAAAAGTATATTTTTAGGGAAAAAGTCAGAGGTGGGGGAGGGGGGTTTGGTAAAAAATTTGTTGTGATTTTATAGTGTAAAGAAGGACGTGTCGTATAGCATGAATTAAATAACATGCTATTATGTTTTTAATACAAGCATGAATTAAGTAACACCTTATGATATTTATGCGGGGCTGGGATATTGAACGTAGGTGCGATCAACAATGGTATGTACTAGGAATCAAAGACAGATCCTGCGACATACAGTGTGGGGGGGCCAGCTTTCTGCGATGGGGTCGCGTGCACACCCGAGATAAAAAATACAAAATGCATGGAGAGCTCCCGTGACTGGTTAATAGGGTGATAGACCCGTGATCCATCGAGATACCTTATTTAAGAGGAACGTGTGGGCGATCTTGATTTCTATGGCCCTGAGGTAAGAACCAGATGCCGGATACAGTTCACTATAGCTACCCCCACGTGTTATGGGCCTGGAGCGAGGAGAGTAGCACTCTTGTGCGGGATATTGATTTCATGGAGGATGGTAAACAAGGGACCCCTAACTGAGAGGGGTATCTGTGGTGACAAGGATTTATTTGACTAAAATGTGCTATGCCCAATGAACGATTTAATGTGCTATATATGGTAAATGAACAGTTGTGTTAGTTGATATTCTTGGGAAGATGCTTGATCTTTGAATGTTAGTGTTATGTTCTACGGTTGGTTAAATCATTAGAGTTCTTGCTTGTAAGCATGTTTTCAAGGGTAGTTAGCAAATATGTAAGAGCATGTGCTATGTACAGTCAAGCATTTATAGTACTATATAATATTCATGTTGGATAGCAGTAATGCACGATTTTCATTGGGGTCTGATAAAATAACTTAGTACTTAAGTTGCATTTAAAGCTTGCACCCCATAGAATACAGAAAGTAGTTTAAATTAGAATGCCAGTTTTGGGTGTTGGTGGTGAAGTTGAGTGCTTTCTTTCTGAGTTGTCCTGGGGAGAAGTTTCTACTTCCGGTTTACAAGACCAGTGTATTAACTTATACTACCAGGGCAGGTTCATTTGAGTAGATTGTTTTCGGTTAAGGAGGCAAGTGGTATTAAGGTTAGGACTGTGATAAAGTATATTATGGATGCTACTTGCCCAATAATGATGAAGGGTTGGTTTACTGGTTGGCCTCCGATTCAAGTGAGAGTTAGTAGAATTATAATTAGGGGTCACTATAAGAATTGGCTAAGTGGGCGGAATATTTTACTTTGTTGTTTGGATTTATGGAGTATGGGGATAAGTGCTAAAATGAGGATTGATAGGAGGAGTGCTAGCACTCCTCCTAATTTATTAGGGATAGATCATAGAATTGCGTATGCGAATAGGAAGTATCATTCTGGTTTAACATGCGGGGGGGGTGTTTAGGGGGTTAGCTGGAGTATAGTTGTCTGGGTCACTTAAAAGGTCAGGTGAAAATAATACTAGTATTATTAGGGCGAGAAGGAGAAGGATTAAGCCTAGGATATCTTTGATTGTATAATAGGGGTGAAAGGTAATTTTGTTGGAGTGAGAGGAAATTCTGGAGGGGTTGTTTGATCCTGTTTCGTGTAGAAATAGTAGATGTAGAATTGTAAGGGCTGTAATAATAAAGGGTCGGATGAAGTGAAGGGTGAAAAACCGTGTGAGGGTGGGATTGTCAATTGAATATCCGCCTCAGACTCATTGGACAAGGTTAGTTCTGATATATGGGATGGCTGATAGAAGATTTGTGATTACTGTGGCACTCCAGAATGATATTTGGCCTCATGGGAGTACGTAGCCTCTGAAGGCTGTTGCTATAGTTATAAGTAGAAGTATAATGCCAATATTTCAGGTTTCTAGAAGGAGGAATGAGCTATAATATAGGCCTCAGCCAATATGTAGAAAGAGGCAGATAAAGAACATAGAGGCACCGTTAGCGTAGAGATAGCAAAGGGTTCAGCCATAGTTTACATCTCGAGTGATGTGTGCGACTGAAGAGAAGGCGGAGAAAATATCTGGTGAGTAGTGTATTGCTAGGAATAAGCCTGTGATGATTTGTAGGGTCAGACAGGTTGCAAGGAGTGAGCCAAAGTTTCATCATATGGAGATATTAGATGGGGTGGGTAAGTCAATGAGGGAGTGGTTGATTATTTTTATGAGTGGGTTGGGTTTGCGTGTTGGGGTCATTGGTGTTTTTGTAGTTGAAATATTACGATGGTTTTTCATATCATTAGTCATGGTTAGAGCCCGTGTGGAAACAATGACATATATTTTATTCTTATTAAGTGTACTGTTGGTTATGGGATTTGTGGGGTTTTCTTCCAAGCCTTCTCCTATTTATAGGGGTTTAGCATTGATTGTTAGTGGTGTGGTTGGTTGTGTTATTATTTTAAATTATGGAGGAGCTTATGTGGATTTAATGATATTTTTAATTTATTTGGGAGGCATAATGGTTGTTGTTGGTTATATTACGGCAATGGCTATTGAAGAGTATCCTGAGGCATGGGGCTCAGGATTTGAGGTTCTGGGGAGTCTTTTAGTAGGATTAGCGATGGAGGTAGGGTTGGTTTTATGGGTTTTAGATTTTGATGGGTTAGTGGTGGTGGTTAATTTTAACAATATAGGGAGTTGAGTGATTTTTGAGGGAGAAGGGCCGGGGTTAATTCGGGAGGATTCTATTGGTGCGGGTGCTTTGTATGACTATGGGCATTGATTTGTGGTAGTTATTGGTTGAACATTGTTTGTTGGTGTATATATTGTGATTGAGATTGCTCAGGGTAATAGGTTATGTTATTAGAAATAAGACTAGGGTGAGAGGGATAAGGAAAGAGAGAAAATGAAATTTGATTATACCCTTTTGAGTGGTTGTGAGGATGGAGGTGATAATGTGGGTATGTGAGATTGTTTTAGGTATAGATTTTTCTAGTCAGATTGAGTCTAGTAAAAGGGAAGCTAGGTTTTGACTTATAAGTAGGTTTTGGTAGGGAGCTGTGCTATGAATTGTAATGGGAAAATATCCTAGTATGTTAGAGAATTTAAATATGTATGATGGGATATCCATTTTAAGCTTATTGGCTATAAGAGTAAGGTCCAAGGCTACTAGGAAGCCTAGAGCGGTTATGTACAGGGCCGAGAGTTTTAGGTGAGATGATATTGTTAGATGGGGAGGTAAGGTGGGAGAGATGCTGTTAGTAATGAGGAATCCTGCGAGTAGGCTGCTGATTGTGAGACTTTTGATTGGGTTTAATAGGGTGGGGGTGTTTTCGTTAATGTTGACTAAGGTTGGGAAGCGAGATTGTCCTGTTAGGATGAGAAGAATAGTTCGAGCACTGTAGGCGCTTGTTAGGGAAGTGGCAATGAGAGTGATAGATAGGGCTCAGGCGTTGGTATATGACATGTTTGCGGATTCGATGATGAGGTCTACCCAGAATTCACCAGTTTAAATGTTAATCTCATCCAAAAGCACTCTCCAAGCTGACTTATAAAACTAACCATCAGGGTGTTCCCACCAGTATGGCTCAATGCTCAGTCAGTCTGTTCCAGGTAAGTAGATCTTGATTGCTGCCTCTCTTGTTATCCTCCTGTCTCTTCAGATTTCACCTTAGTGGTTTGCCCT